TTGTGACATACTTGTGTGTGTGTGTGTGTGTGTGTGTGTAGTTGGTGGATGTTTTTGTATTCTGTGTTTCATTGTTGGCCTTTTATACATCATATAAATATCCTGGTTGCGCGGTGAAGTCAGACCCTTGTTTCTGTGTGCACCATATAGAAAGTGGAAGGACACATGCAGCCAGAGGAGCAAGTCATTTACGTTGTATACTTTGCATCTTTGGCCGCATAGCGTGTTTGCTTAATATAATGTTCCAACTGGACTAAGACCTGTGATTACTCCCCTCCCTCCTGTCCACCCCCCCACCACCCCCCAGCCCCCAAAAAAGCTTTTATTTCTTAAGTGGCACAAAAGCCATAATTGGGCCTGCTTTGAGAGGAGGTGTCAGTGTATGGGACATCGGTGATCCGGGTGAATTCTGTTAAATGCAACCCCCTCCCTCCACCGCCCGCCCTTGCTAGGCGCTACTACCCCCCTACACATCCCCAGCGGGGTCACCAGGATCACTAGCTTTTCTCCAAATGGCCATTTTGGCTGGCAGGTGCATTATACCCTTTATTTTCAGATTGTCTATCCGCTCCTAATGCCTGGCAGGTTGATTGCTCTGGCTGCCTCACCAGGGAAAGGGCTGACGAGCACGGCCGGGACTAGCTGAAAGACAGTGATTACTGTTTTCCTTTAAGCCTGATTGAGGCCCTTGAAAGGAAAGATTTTAACCTTGTCCTGTTGGTTGCAGAGTATGGCCGTACATTGAAATGGCTTGTGTCATCAACCCAGTTCTGTAAACTCATCAGTGCACTCAATAACCTTCTTCCCCAAACCTCCGTCTGAGAAAGGGGATAAATCACTTTATGGACAAAGTGACAGATGACATTATCATTTAGATTATCTCAGTAGGAAGGAAATTCTGGCATGCGGTGCTGTCATCTTAGATTAACTATAAGGCTCATACCAAGATAAATGCCTGTAGGAACCAGGCGAGTATTTCCCCTCTCTTCATGAATCTGTTTTTGTCCTGCTTTTGCTATTATTTTTTTTACATTGAAAGCATGGGCTATATACCGTCTCTACGAGATGTGTTTTGAAAAAGCGTCTTCATCTTCTTTGAGGTACAACCGGTGTGCAGTTTGCCAGCTGGTCTGGCCTGTATTTTGTTGTACATTCTCTGAGGTTGAATAGGAGTTGCAGGACCTCCTGCTAGGATGGTAATTGCACAGGCTTGCTGTTCAGGGAGAAGCTTGTCTCGGGGCAGCCAGGCGGAAAACCTCTGTGCCATCCCCATGCCACCTCTGAAGAGCACAAGACAATCGCAGCATCACCATCTGCTTTTGCACCATGCCGTCATCTGGCCAGACCAATGGGACGGGCCCCGGGCAGCTGCTCCACACCCACTGCCCTGCTGCCCCGTGGCCTAGAAGGGGGCAACCTGCTAACGGGACACAGAGGAAACCGCTACACTGACAGCTAGATCCTCTATTGAATGGCTAGAGTCTCATTAACAGTTGGGAAAGACAGGGGTCCCTATGACAACAAGACACCCGCTGCGCTGTGTCCCTTTAACACAAATGACAAACTTCCCTGCTTTAGAGGAGCAGGTTCCTTTTGAAAGGCGACATTGTGCTGACAAACCAAACAAATGCAAGGCGGAGATTGCCATGCCCATAATCACTCGGTGGAGCTTTTTTTTTTATTGAGAAAAGAAAATAATAGAGGAGGAAGATGTAGTGGCGAAAAGGTATGAAACGTCTGTATGGAGGCATGATCGATTGTTGTGTGAAAGTTGTTACGTTGAATTAGATTTTATTCCCTGTTTACATTTGAAGTTTTGACAATATTATAACCAAAATCTTTTACAATTTCTTGCGTAGATGGCGTGTACAATCTAATAGTTCACTTTCTGATCAACAGAGGAAGAAGAAGAAGAAGAAATTGCTCCACCTCAACCAGCAGGCGAGACTCAGACTGAGAAACCGGACCAGAAAGAGGAGGAGGAAGGTACTACAGTGACAATGATGCATAATTGCAATACACTAATGAAATTAAGCCGTAGTTGTTGCCGGTAGAAAGAGGTTTCTCTTCCTGTAAAGTAGTGCATCACATTCTGTATCATAAAGGAAATGAGCAGTAGGGATCCCCAATACATTTCATTGTGTTTCCCTGTATAGTGCCCCCCCACGAGCTGACAGAGGAGGAAAAACTCCAGATCCTACACTCCGAGGAGTTTGTGGATTTCTTCGATCACAGCACTCGCATTATTGAGCGGGCTCTATCAGAGCACGTGGACCTCTTCTTTGACTACAGTGGTCGTGACCTGGAGGAGAAGGAGGGGTAATTATTGGACAACTGGTGTTTTTTTTTTTTTTTTTACTTGTAATTGGTTTTTGAAGAAGTGTTTTTTATTGATTTGTGTTGCTTTGTTTTCCCCAGTGAAATCCAGGCCGGAGCAAAGCTCTCTCTCAACAGGCAGTTCATGGATGAGCGCTGGTCAAAGCATCGTGTCGTCACCTGCCTGGACTGGTCCCTCCAGGTCTTTTTTTTTTTTTTCTTCTTTAACATTTTTTTGTAACTTAACCAACAGTTGAACACATTTGACCGAGCAGCATTTTGCAGTTGAATAAAAATGAATTTATTGTGTATTTGTGCTAAAATAGAAGTAATATGGGCATAATTGTTGCTAATTGGCTGTTGAAACAACTTAACTTTGCACAGCCATAATGCTTTATGATTACATAGCTTGAGTTTGACAGCATTTACTTTTAGCCACAAGTCCCTCAGGAAAAGTAAGTTATGTCCCACACAAATTGTCACTTAGTCGGAGGCCATAATGATTTGTTTCCTCTGGTGTCTAAGGTCATTTAATGCATGATTCTGCAACGACTTTTGACAGTGATTGAACACCAAGTCTTTGTTCACAGTGTTTACTAGCTCTGAGCGATATCCATACCCTTGTGATTTGAAATAATGAATTCACAAACTGTAAATCTCACTTCAGGTATTAGAAGCAGCAGGGGTTAATGGTTTGTTTACATCTGGGTAGTGTTTCTGCAGTCGTTCTCTGCCTGTGTTTTTAAAACACACTTCAGTGGGTGTAAATTTTACATTCTCAATGAGCTGCTCTGTTTTAGTCTACCACTGTTCCTCTGTAGCTTTTAGTTCAAATTATCAAAGGGAATAAAAACGTTATTATTTACCAAAGTTCTTGGGGTAGGGCTAATTAAACAAGCCATAAATCTTGAGGGAAGGGTTACTCATTCTTTAAGGCATTCAGCAGCACCGCACAGGGCAGGAGGCGAGGCTTGTCCACATGGAGCCAAGCCTGGGGGGCACATCTGCCTCCCCCCTCACATTCATTTGGGCTGATTTTTTCTTTTTTTCCTGTCACCAGTATCCTGAACTCCTGGTTGCCTCGTACAACAACAACGAGGACGCTCCTCACGAGCCAGACGGCGTGGCCTTGGTGTGGAACATGAAGTACAAGAAGGCTACACCGGAGTACGTCTTCCACTGTCAGGTACTCAAAGCAAAGCCCCTCTGCTTCTTTCTCCCACCCCTCTCCACGTCCTCACCAGTGGCATCTTCCATGGCAAGCGTGGAGCACCGCCAACCAACCCCTGTTTGCTCACCCTTCTCTCCTCCTCCTCCTCCTCCTCTGCGCTTACACCCCTCACCCTCCCGCCTTCCTGCACATTGTGAGTTCACCGTACTGGCATCCACCTCCACCACATCTATCCACAAACACATGTTCATGAGGCGCCGGAGAAGACCTGTGGTGCAGGAGTTGAATGGAATCCGAGCACTGCAGCAGGATTAAGTGTGTGTGGGGCTGGGCTGGTTATCATGTGCATCTAAACAAGGGCCCTGTGTTCAGACAAGCTAGCAGGGAGAGCAGCACAGCTCCTCCGCTCTGCCCAGCCTTATTATAATGCCTGCCCCGAGGCTCCTTCACCAAGACAAGTTGAGTAGAACCACATGTTGTTGCCTCCAGAGCGGATGTAGATGCAGGCGTATTGCTCAGATGAATAAAACTGAACAGAAGTGTGAATGCAGTTCTCTCCGTGCCTCCAAGTCAGCTCATCATGAGATTTTCCTTAACCGTGCCTCAAGAAAAGTCACTTTTTAAAAAAAATATTGAGGTTAGATTGTAATTGGTGAAGCGATGAGTGTAGGCCACCTACAGACCAAACTCAAGTAATAAAAATTCATGAAGTCATAATCCAAAAATAAATAATAATCCTGTTCAGCGGCCGAAAGGTTTGTTTTGTTTGCACTGTACGAACTGAGGCATGAGTAATGAAAGATGTATTTGGATGTGTTTTTGGGAAAGAGGGAACATGCACAGACCAGTTCTATAACTTTGAGAAGAAACAGGAAAAAAACAGGTTCAAGCCAATGTTTTTTTTTATTCAACTTTGAATACTGTTGTAGTGTTGCTGATATAAAACTTATATAAAACAGCCAGAACTTGATTTGATGCAGTTTTGCCTCACCACTTACCTCAGTGGAAAATTCACCCAAGTTATTTTGACTCTAGATTTGTGTTTCCAGTCATTCTCATAAAAAAAATCATGTAAAATGTTTATACTGTTGCATATTTGCTCTGGTCTGTGTAAATGAATTCAGTTCTTACTTCAGAGAACATGCATACTGTATTCTGAGTTACCAGTTTATTAGGTACACTGAGCTAAAACTAATGCGGCCTTAAAGGACAGTCAAATCCTACCAACCTGAGCCATACTGACCAGCTCTGCCACACAGATTTTTCATTATTGAGCATGAACGAGCCCTGACTCGGGCCTGGATGCGCTCTTTGATTAGATGTGACGTGATGGTACATTTGCTGAGCTGCCTCACTATAAACATGTACCTTTTCATCAGTAGAGAACTTAAACATTGTCTATCCCTTTTCTCTGCCTTTTCTCTCTTTCTGACAGTCTGCTGTTATGTCGGCCGCGTTTGCCAAGTTCCACCCTAACGTTGTGGTGGGGGGCACATACTCGGGGCAGATTGTACTGTGGGACAACAGGAGCAACAAGAGGACCCCGGTGCAGAGGACTCCCCTGTCAGCAGCAGCACATACGGTACACTGAACAACTGACACAGTGGGCCTGTACTTTATTTTTAATACAGCAGAAGAGTAAAAGGTTTCCCTGATTGTCTTTGCAGCACCCAGTATACTGTGTGAATGTGGTCGGCACACAGAATGCCAACAACCTGATCAGCATCTCCACTGATGGCAAGATGTGCTCCTGGAGTCTGGACATGCTCTCCCAGCCACAGGTA